GCACACGTGGGGCCAGCAGAGTCTGGCTGAAGACACCATCGTGGGGGTCATCAGCTTGTGGACAATACTAGGGCTATCACAGAGCACCCAGGGAGATTGCACTGAAATAAGAGGGTTCAGAGAAACGAGCCATAGAAGTGGGAAGAGACAGATGGAGAGGTGAAGGGCCCTCCTCTAAGAAGCTTCCTTCAACCTTTCAAGCCAAGCCATGTGACACCTCTCTTGGTACAGCACCTGCTCTCCCCTCGATACCGCTCAGCTGCCCTTCGCCACCGCCGCAGCCATGAACAGAAAGTGCAGGAACCAGCCCGCCCTGGCCCAGGGTCTTGGCACAAAGCACAGCGCAGAGTGCTCATCTGATGGACGACTGAGTGCACCATAAACTTCGTCTATTTTGTCCCTTTTCATAAGGGCCCCAGGAAGGCCTGTCTCTGTGGCACAAATGGGAAGCTGGAGCTCAGCAGAAAGCCCAAGGTCACTGTCAGGAAGGGCTGGAGCCAAGTTGGGGTCACGCTTTCCCCCTTCACACCCTCTGCCGCCTCCTCGAAGCGCCCATCACATCACAGGGACTTTCTACAACAGAGGGCGCCCTCACATTGCTGCTCCTGGGTCCTAACACCTACCCCCCAGCCCCCACTGGCCCCCCCAAAGCAGCAGGTCGGGAGATGTCCAGGGAAGAGCCCAGAATCCCTCCCTCCTTTCCCAGCGCAGCAAGTGAACTGGCCAGGCTCCCGAAAGCTCTACTTAGGGCGCTTCTAAGAGTAGAAGTGAATTTGGGGCTTCCCTGAAGCTGAGGCTTGGAGGTCAAAAAAACTTAGGACCACTCGCTGGAGCCTCAACTCTTGAGTTCTAGAACTTAAACATAAATGTAGCACACGTCAGAAAGCCTTGCTCAGCTCCACAACCAACGCTGGACGCGGCAAAGAGCCTCTGCACACTGTCCGCCCCGAGCCAAGACCCAGCGGGCATGAGCGCGAGGGCCGGGAGCCACACCGGCGTCCCCGCGACGAGTGGTGCGTGTTGCTCTGTCCACACTCCGCCGCCTCACGACGCACCATCTGTCCCTAGGCCTGCGGAGATGAGACCCACGCGGGCTCCGTGGGGGCACCGGCTCGTCCTTTCTCGCCCCGCTCGGGAACACCTGGGGAAGGCCGAGCCTCGGGTGAGCGTGGCTACGGTGCGGAGCAGCCGCCTGGCTGGCAGGGACAGGGCCCAGACTCGACGCTGCCAGTCGACGGAAGCCCAGCTGGACAAAAGTCACACCTCCTTGGCGCCTTTCCTCAGCCGAGAAGCCTAAAGCTACACTAGACAATTCTCAGGGTTCTCTCAGCTCTAATTATGTAATCAGCATATAGAAAGGGGGTGGGGTGCAAAGGCATGTAGGGTGCTGGCTGGACGGGAAGCCTGGGAGGATGAACCCCGCCAACAAAGCCTGTCTGACCCGCCCCTTTCCTCGGCTCTGTGAGCGACACTCACTTCCTCCACAGCCCCACCCACGGCCCAGTCAGTCACCTGGGGCTCTCCATGTGAAGAAACATCTAGCACAGTGTCCTGCAGACACACATCCCCAATATCTGCAGGCTTCACGGAAGCGTTAGCAAAGTACAAGGAACCCCCATCCCACTCCCCAAAAGAGAAACAGAGGCAGCCAAAGGCTGTCCCTGAGGATGCCCAGCAACCCCCTCTCCACACCTGTTCTCAGAACGATTCGGAAAACCAGACACTATTTCCCCCTCCCCCTTTACCCAGCACCACCCACGGTCCCTCTCACCCGCCTGGAGCTTGTCCTGTTCGCCAGGCAGAGGCCGCAGACGGAGGAAGGCTTCCGCCATCCCGCTGCGGTTCTCTGGATTAACTTCTCAAGATGCTCAGGGCTAAAGCAAATTATTTACCTTGCTTAATGCCATTTCACCCGTCCCATAGATCAAGTCTGGCTGGCCTGCTGGCAGAAAAGGCGACCTCGCCACCCGGGCCTGAAGAGCAGCCCGAGTCCCCTCCACACCGTCCCTCGCGCTCACCCCGGCGCGCCGCCGCAGACGTCCCTGGCCACGCACGGCCTGGCCTGGCCCCGGAAGAAAGGCTCCACCTCTATCTTGCCCACCACTCCACCTCTCGGCTGAGGACGGTGCCTATAAAGACTTGTTAATGAAAATTAAAACACACGGGGGCCCTTGATCCACATTCAGGGAGGCCGTGTTCAAAGGCGGAAGCCATCTTCCCGTCCAGCTGGCCTTCCAGGAGCCCAGGCACTTCCTTCCCCGCAGCGCAGCAGGCCCGCAGCGCAGTGAGGCTAATTAACCCGGTAGCCAACCACTGCCCCACAAGGCCGCCCGAGAGCGCCAGCCTTGGCTACCCCGGCAGGTCACTTTCCAGCTCACCTTCCTGCTGGAGGTGCACGTTACCTGCAAACACAGCTCTAGTGCAGGCTGTACTGACTGGCGGGCGCCGGGAGAACTCTTCACCCCTTCTGCACGCACCGTGGGTATTAAAGGCCTTTCAACAGCGCAGCGAACAGCGAGAAACCACCCCATCTGAGCGCAGCGAGACTACTCGAGCTCCCGGAACGCCGCCTTTCCCCGGGCGCCAGATGTGCGGCTCTGATGCATGGCTGTGCTCCCGCATCAGCGGGGCTCGTTGTTGCGCTTCTTTTTATCCCCCTTTCTAACCTCCACCAAAAGGAAAGGCAGGCAGCAGGGTCAGAAGCCCCAGGTAGATCTGACGAGCAGGAGAGGCGGGCACAGAACACAAGCCCCTACCAAGAAGAGCACCTGAGGCGCGCCAGGGAGAAGGGCTGTCTTATGCTAATGGAGCCTGTGAGTCCCATCTGGTCCCACTGAGCGTAGTCCCCAGGTAGGATGACTCCTGCGCCGTGTGAACCAGTTAGCACAGGCGGGGGAGAAACAGCCCCTTACTTATTACATCACTCTTTGAGGTGACAGAAGACGTTTTCAGCTCAACATAGGATGAAGAGAAACTTTTGAGAGGAAATCTCTGGCGCCCGGGGAAAACTAGCCAGGTACAGAGAAAGTGAAAGTTTAGAAAGCTGCCGGGTCTACTAAGCGGCTCAGCACAGTCACCACAACCCTGCTTTCCAGTACTTTGCCGGAGCCCAGACTTCGAGTTCATTATAACTTAGGGGGGGTGGGGGAGGGGCTGGAAACAGCAGGAAACATGTCTCCCAGCTCACACCTACAACTAACTACCTGATTTGCACCCCGGGCAGGCAGTGAGCTGTAAGGGACCTCAGACCCCTTCTCCAGGCTTTGAAGCCAAGGGGCAGAGGGGCTACATTCAAGCCCAGACCCTCACTAGCTACTGGACCGCGCAGGAAGAGGAAGCTGACCTACCTCTCAGGTGGATTTTTTATGACAAGTAAAAATGCCTTGAACAGAACTTCATATAGCAGATCAAAAAGACAAACATCTTCTCCATATGAAGAGATGGCTGAACTCATCACAAATCCAACTCTAATTTCTTGTGATTTCAATTCTATTCCATTCCATTAAAAATGTTTAAGTAGGGCCTCCCTGGTGGCGTAAGGAGTTAAGATACAGCACTGTGAAGCTGTCTGCAGCCTCTGCAGCATGAGTTCGATCTCCGGCCACGGAGAAACCCACATGGCGCAGCAGACCTCTCCTGTCTTGCCTGCTGCTCCCCTCAGCAGTGTATTTCAGTCAATCTGCCTGTTCTGCTCCCCACTTTGTCTCTGGTGAATCCTTTCCCCTCCACCTCTGACCTGTACCCCAATTCTTGTATGCATAAATAAATCTTAAAAAAAAAAACGTTTAAGAAGTATACCGTGACGAGGTATGAGACCTGAGCAAAATTCTCTCACACACATGAACAAAATTACCTTAGTAGAGTGAACATTTAATAACGTTTCCTCCTAAGTTATAACAAATGTAATTATGTGCACGTAATAACTGCTAACCTTATTAAGTAGGATTTTTGAAAGCCCACACTAAACACAAAATCATAATTCAAATTTCAAAATAAACTGCCTGTTTTGGGAGACTCCCCCCCAAATTATTATTTTTTTTTTATTTTTATTTATACAAGCACTGGGTATAGTCAGAAGCGCGGGAGGGTGAGAGAATTCACCAGAGCCAGAGCGGGGAGCAGAGCAGGCAGAAGGACCGAAGTACACTGCTGAGGGGAGCAGCGGGCGGCAGGAGAGGTCTGTGCGCCATGTGGGACCCTCCTCTGGTTGCTGGGGAGCAGCCGGGGATCGAACCGGCACTGCAGAGGCTGCGGGCAGCTTCGCAACCCAGCGCCCAACCTCCCCCCCAAATTAATCTGCAAAGCTGCATAAACTTCTATCTACGCGATAGCCCTGATGTTAACATATAAACACCTCGCCTCTGCCTCCAAAGTCAACAGCATGGCACACCTCCCAATGCCGAGACCCTTCTGAAGTGGGTTCATACAGACTAAATAAAAAGTTCTCTAGAAAGGACCTATCAGGCCCGTGACTTCCAAGCATCACAGTACTAAGAATTAAGACAAGACACACTTATGCGGCTGGCCTAGGACTCAGTGTCAGAAGCATGGCCTGAGGCCCTCACACACCATAAAATCAGTGAAACTAATTGGGGTTCTTCAGCTTCTGAGCGCAAGCATTCTGCTACCATTAAGGAATAAATTGGGGATGCAAATAATTAGTGCCCCCTGAGGTGGCAGTTAATTCCACCAGCACACCATTCACAGGAGACACTGTGGAAGCCACGCTGACCCTGCTCTGAGAATACCAGCGCTGGGAAGTTCACGTTAGCCAACCACCCCCGATCCCTTGACATGACTTTAAAAAGCAGGCTCCCTCCACCATCCACTGCACAGACAGACCCTGAAACTCCTTAGTGCCCATGGACACACACAGACCCAAACACTCCAAGCAGCCAGACCTCTGAAGTCTCCTCACGGGAGACTTCCCTCACCGTACCTCCCTCTGGTACAGTCAAAAAATACACGGCACACTCAGCACAGGCTAGAGCGGAACATACTTTCGGAGAGGCGAGAGGCACAGGCTGGCATCAGGCATCTGAGGAGATGGGCACCGTGACCGGCTTTCACATTCCTCTGGAGAGGCTGGAAAGTGAAACAGGTTTTCAAAAACCAGGTGGGGGACAGCCCGTGTGTCCCAGGCCGGGCGCCTGCAGCTAGCACAGAAGGAGAAACTGGAGAAGCACCGACGACCAAACCCAAGAACACCCCAAGGCCTGTGATGACCGGGGGAGCCCTCACGGACAGACGAGGAAAGCGGCGCCCAGAGCGGTGGGCGACCAGGGTGGCAGTTTCCGCGCCCGAAGCAGGAAGGCGACCGCTGGGGCCTCTCCCACCCCACCAGGCTGCCGCCCCACGCAAGATGTTTTAGAAAACTCTCCACCGAGGCTGTTAACATAAGGGTCCAATTATCATTCAAAGATCTGCCTGGCAGATAATAGCTCGAAAATTCCATCCATTTTACAGCAGTTACCGGAGTCATCTAACCTTCCAGGAGGAAAAGAGCCAAGAGAAAGAGAGAAAAAAATCCTAATTCTGATCTGTCCCCTCGGGGCAAAGTAAAGGGCTGCACGCGGCGGGCAGCGCCGTGCCCACCCGCGGCCCCCCACCCACAGGCCCAGGCGGGCGCCGCTGCTCGGCGCCGCCCCTCCCCCCGCGCCCCAACTCACTAAATTCCGCTCCCACCCGGCGCACCCCAGACATTCCACCCCCCGCCGCGGCCGGGCGGGCTGGGCCCGGGGCCACTCGCGCCCCCACTTTCCCCCAGGAAGGGACGCGCGGCGGGGCGCCCCCAGCCCCCAGCCGCGGCGAGCGCTCGCCGGCCAGCACGCGGGGCCCCCGGGACGCGCACCCCGGCGGCCCCCGGCGGGGCGGGGAGCGGCGCGGCGGGCGGGCGGGGCGGGGAGGGCGGCCCACGCAGGAAGTGGGTCCCGCGCCCCCGCCCCCCGCGCCGGGACCTGGCGCCCCGCCAGCCCCGCCTCGCCCTCCGCCCCCCGCGGCGAGCGGCGCCGCGTCCACATGGCTCCGGGCGCTCACATGGCAGGACGCGGCGGCCGCCGCTCCCGCCCGGCCCCGCCGACCCCGCAGCCCGGCCCGTCCGGCGCGCCGGCCCCGCCCGCCTCGCGCCCAGGCCGCGACGAGCAGGTACCTGCCCGGCCCCTCGGCGGGACGCGCGCCCCGGCCCGCCGAGACGCGGCCCGCCAGGCCCGGCCCGGCCCGGCCGCTCCCGCCGCGCTCCCGCCGGGCCGGGCCGGGCCGGGCCGGGCCGGGCCGGGCCGAGCCGCCCCTCACGCCGCGCTCCGGCCGCGGCGGCGGCTCCGCGCGCCCGGGCCGGCCGGGCCGGGCCCTCTGCCCCGGCCGCGAGCGCTCCCGCCCGGCCCCCCGCCCGGCGCGGCCCCCGCCCGGCGGCGGTTACCTGAGGGGCCCCCGCCCGGCCCCGCGGCCGCGGCCGGGGGCGGGAGCGGAGGGAGCGGCGGGCGGGCGGGCGGGCGGCGCGGGTGGGGGTGGGGGCGCCTCCGCCGCCTCCAGCGCCCGGCCGGGCCGGGGCCGCGGCCCCCGAGGCTCGCTCCGGCCGCGCGCTCGCCCCCCGCTCGGGCGCGCCTCAGGGCGGGCTCCCCCGGCGGAGGCCGCGGCCGCCTCGCAGGGGCCGCAGGCGGCTCGGCTCGGGGCTTTTTCTCTCCATTCTCCCAGCACACAGGAAATAACAGAGCGTCAGGTGACCGCGCGCGGCCAATGGGGACGCGCGGGGCCGCGGCGCGCGGGCGGCGGGAGGCGCGGCGGGCGGGGCCGCGCGGGGGCGGGGCCGGGGGCGGGGCGGCGCGTGCCCACCCGCGTGCGGGGCGCCGGGGCCTGCGCGCCCGCCGCCGCCGGGACCCCCGCCCGCCGCCGGGACCCCCGCCCGCCGCCGGGGTCGCGCGGGGCGCCCGGGGCCTTCTCGGCCCGCGGCTCCGGCCGCCCGGGAGTGGCCGCGAGCCAACTTTCTGGGGAGTTGGTGGCCCGGGATCGCCCCCGAGACGGCCGGGGTTCCCCGAGCCTCCGGCGCCAGACCCGGCCCGGCCACCTGCCTGGGGGGCCGGCGGGCCCGCCGCCCTCGCGCCACCTGCCCCTGGATGAATGACCTGGGCCCTCTCCAGCCCCGGTTTCCTCCGTGAGAGCGAGAGGGGAGCGGCCCACGAACCTCCGTGCCAGATAGCTGCGCCCCAAAGGCCGGTGGGCGGCCCTGCCCAGGCACTAAAAACCCAGGGTCCACAGTTAATGTGGAGAGAAGGTGCCAAGGCCTCCAGTCGTTGCCCCTACTTACTTTGCAAACCTCCCCGTCCGTTTTATGACTTTTCTTCGGAAAATCTTGGCTGTGAAAGAGCCACGGAGAAGTCCGCCCTGTGACAGGCCCCAGTCTCAAGGCCAGGGAGGGGTGGCTGTGCTCCCCACCCGATTCACCAAGCCTTCTGGCCACATGCTCTCCCCACTGGGGCCTCAGTATCCCCTGGGCACCATAGTGGTCCCTAATGTTGGCTACAAGGCTGATCCTAAACTAGGTTCCCATCTGCCCTGGATGTTAGGAGTGGATGGTCTCCTTTCTGAAGCAGCCTGAAGGGGAAGTAAGTCGGAAGAGCCTCGGGGCCCCAGGTGGAGGCTGATAAGCAGCAGGTGTGGCCCAGGCCCAGCTTTCCTGTCTGGGAGGCACACAGCTCCCCAAGGCCTGGCACTACCTTTCACCTTCCACCCTGCCTGTCCAGAGACATTAAGGCTCAGCCTTGTCTCAGACATCCCAAGGAGGGTCCTGGCTGTGGCCACACCTGTACCCCAGCAAAGGGACCGGAGGCAGGGCCCTAGGGGCTTGCTGGCACCTCGGGAGGATGTGGTTGGGGAAGGCGGTGACTTCTTTTGGCTTCTGTCCCACCTCACAAAGTGGGGGCCGGCTCCAATGTGGGTCAGGGCTATTCTTGGAGACTTGATTCCCCAACACCTCTTGCATGCCAGGCGGGTGCGGGGCTCTTCCGGGGCAGAGCTGCACAGGCTGCCAGGCCCTGCCCTCTGGCTGTTCCCATTGTTCTGTGAGTTTCATTTTGAAATTCTTTGGCACCCAGTCTTTTAAAAAGACCGGTGCTGGCTTCTGCTGCGGTTAGAGCTGCAGAGGGCCAGGCTGGGGGGACTCTCAGCACAAAATAATGTTTTCTGGACAAAGGTGGTGGGATGGAGGGGAGGGTCCTGAAGATGGGGTGCTGGGGGCACCCTCAGTCTGTTAAGGGAATTCATGAAGAAAAGGGAAACCCCTGGCCTGAGAGTCTCCAGCCCCATCATTGCTCCCTTCCCGCCCTTCCTTCCACTCATTCAGGTCTCAGCCTGGGGGCGGGAACGAGAAATGGTTGCTGAGAAGCTGCGTTGAATCTCATTCAAAAGGAAAAGAAGCAGACAGATAACTGGGGTCCAGGTCCTCATTTGCTCCTACACCTAGCCCGGAGACTGACCCTGCATAGGGCACCCCACCGCGCAGCTGACCTGCACCTGGAAAGGTCCCCAGCACCTCTTCTACCCGGTGTCTTGTTCCTTTACCTTTCAGTAAATTCAGACGAAGAGCGTTTGGGCTGACGGGTGGCACACAGATCTGAGTACTCCGGTGCTGTGTGACCTCCGGAAAGTCATTTCTCCTCTCTGGACCTTAGTTTCCTCCGCTGTAAAATTTGACCTTACTTGTAAGCTATCATGGGAGATCTACATGAAGAATTCGTGCAGCTCATGGGCACCCAGGAGCACTGGCCATGGCTCTGTGAAGTGGCCACAGCGGGACACGCGAGGCTCATCTGTGGCATCACGGCCCAAGATCCAAGGTGGCCGCTCAATCACCCTTTGCTCAAGAATTCTGTTTTCCTACCACACTTTTAGGAAAGGACAGCTCAGTTGGGCAGGTTTTTTTTCCCTCTCCTATCCCAGGTCACCCAAAAAATGCTCAGCTAAATCAGCGGTTTCAATTCTAGAAGCAGAAGTAATCCTCTCCCCGTCTTCGGGCCCAGGGTGGCTTGGGAGGCCCCGTGTCCTCCGTGCTCTCGCAAAGTCCTGTGCCCTTCTCCGGGATTAGGGATTCCATGTGGCTGGCGCCTCCGCCTCTAGGTGGTGGACCATGCTGCCCTCAGTCAGCAAGGGTGGGTAGAGGCTGCTGGCTTGTGTGCAGGGAGGCAGGGTACTGGGCTGAGTGGCAGTGCCCGTCCTCATGCTGGCCAGGGTCTGCAGCCATGTCTGACCCTCACCTTTAGCCTTTCATGGGCCCAGCTCCACTCCCTCCCAGGAGGCCCTGCCTCTGCTGACTCCAGCACACACAAGGGGGCCTGGAATTCCTGCTCCCAGCCCTCCAGGCACAATTTATAGCAGCCTCTGGGTAACAGAGTAGGGGCCCCACATCCCCTGCAGTGTCCCTCAGAGCCTGTCTCAAGCCTTCCTTCCCCATGCAAAGTGGCCAGGTACCAGGAGAGCACAAACAGCAGGGGTGGCCTGGTCCTTGGTGGGTGCCCCCTTACCACACTGAGTCCCTGCTGCGTGCCAGGCTGGAAGCCCTGGGCGCAGGAGGTACAGGGGCAAGAAGAGTCCTTCCCAGGGTAAAAGCAGGCCAAGCTCTGAGGCCAAGCGGGTGGGGAAGGCTCCAAACAGAGGTCCAGGGAATACCGAGACTTGGCAAAGTGAGGGGCAGCGCCTTGCTATTCCTGGGAGAGCTGTGTGCAATGCAGGACTAGGGGAGTGGGAGATGAGGCCGAGGAAATGGGCAGGCTGGGACCCTGCCAGGCTGTGTATCAGTGTCAGCTAACGTGACTGTCACACAGCTCCCACTGGTCACACAGCTCCCACTGGTCCATCTTTCCCATAGGGGAGCACCACGCCCATTAAAATGACAATGTTAACGGGAATGCAGCCCAGAGGAGTCCAGTGAACAGACACTGGGGGTCTGCAGCAACCTGAAGAGAATGTACTATTATGACCCTCATTTTATAGAAGGGGCCACTGAGGCACAGAGTTCAAGTGACGTGTCCTGAGTCACACAGCTTGGAATAACCGGAGCTGGGATCTGAAGCCAGGTCTTCAGAGGTTGCAGTCCTAACCACCAAGTGCCCAGTACTTGGTACACACTGGGAAGATGAGTGGACGCAGATGGTTGACAGTTCCCAAAGGTGGCAGGTAGGTAGGGACAGAGACATGAGGACAGCCGGGCCAGCACTGGCCTCTCCCCGCTATGACAAGTTCAAGCCCCAGACTGGACACTGGACTTGCAAGCTCCAGCCTGCAAGACCCTGCTCCACGCAACGTGTGGGCACTGCTACGGCAGCTCATGCCTCCTGCGGGTGAGCAGACAGAAGCGGGGGGCTGTGCAGCTGGGCTGAGCGCTGGAGGCCCCTGTAGCCTCAGGCCCAGGAGATCACCCCACAGCCACTCAGCACCCCTGCCCATAGGGACACTCTCTGGGCAGCCCCTGGCATGGTGGCCAGCACAGGCCATTGAGCCGAGGTCCCAGCCTGGTCTTGCCGGTATGTGTCCTTCAGCACATCATCCTAGGGGTTTCAGTTTCTTCATCTGGAAATTGGAGAGGGTGGGAGG